GTCGGAGTTTCACCGACTCATCAGGAGGCTGAACCCTATATATTTGTGACGATATATATGAAACTCCGACGAAACAGTTTGTCACAGCCCCTCGTTTGTTGTCCTCTTCTCCCTCTCTGCCTACGGTTTACCGGGCAGTTCTGTTTGAATCGTCAAACAGAACTGCCCGGTAAACCGTAGGCAGAGAGGGAGAAGAGGACAACAAACATATATATGTTTTTAATAGCAAGACCGTAAATTCCTTAACAAAAGAATAGCAAGGAGGCCGGGGACCTCACAAATCTACCCGGAGTTATCCTGACAGCATCAGCCAGTTTAGCTTTTCCTCATCATTCAGGCATTCAATTTTCCTCTCATTTAATCATTTCTCAAAGCGAATTTGTACCAGGCCAACTTAAACTAGCTGAAGCTAACTTATTCCTACCTATCCTAGTACTATTACTTATCCTAACCAATCCCCTAACACACAGATCTAATCATGGTCTGACCGCGGCCTAGTACTGACCGCAAGGAACATACCTGTGTTCCATTTCATCCCCTGGCACTCTCCCTACCCTACCTTCCCTTTTGCGTCCTACTGCGGTCGCCGACTGAAACCGAGTGCGCCTGGTTTGTACTACTTACCTACTTAGACTCTACTACTCCCTTACTCCACCATAATTGTGGTTGCGGGCAATCCAGTTGCCCAAGGGCCAAGGCCATCCTCCCTTCTGAAGTTATGTGTGCCAACCCCAGGCCCCAGGTTTTCTGAGACCAGTTTCGCCCTTCCTGCCTGTCTCCCTGTACCACCCGACGTGTCCAGTCTGCTTGTACTGCAGTTGCAAGCAGGGACAAGAAAATGGCTTCTGCATGGATTTCTGAGAGCGCCTCCCCTTGGAATCTGAGACTATTGCGATCCAACCAAATGACCCACAACATAATGGCTCGGCCCACTTGGGCGACATAGCCCCAGCCCTCCCTTATGCTTATCGACTGTGGGACTGCTCCCACAATAGCCCATCTTTCTCCTGTGAGCCCTGCTAATCCTGCGAATCTCCGCCAGTGCGTCTCCCACCAGCTCCACCATTTCCTCGATCGAGTGCATTCCCACCATAGGTGACTCGGCGACTCCAAATGTGTGTGACAAGGATCACAGGTTGTGTCCACCTCCATTCCTCGTTCAGACAGCCACTGGGCGGTAGGCACCGCAAGATGAGACTGGAGCCACAGGAGCGAAGCCAGTTTCTGAGATGGGATGTACTTCAGTTGAGTCCACAGCCTGTTGAGTTCCAAGCTTGTCAGCGGGGGCAGGGTTGGTACAGACGTACGCCAACGGTGTTGCACCTTCTCAGTCGTGGGAAGACTTCCGCAGTTCCTCTTCAGAATTAACTTTGCACTGAGGTTCTCCAGTCGTGTTGTCAGCTCCCCGTTGACCAACCACCCCCATGCTGCTGCATCTATCCTTAGGTCCTTCAGTAGTGTCCCGTTTGCTACCAACTGCGGGATCATCGGAAGGCCTCTCTCTGACGGTGCCTGCAGTCTAACTCGCACTTCAGATAGGTTCCTCAGTCCATACTGGAGGTGCATCCCTTCTCTCTGCAATGTAGGGAGAGCCACCTCTTTCCGTTTTTAGGTCTCTAACCAGCAGCGGCCAGACCCATCGTCGAACCAACTTTCGAGCCTGCAGTACCACTCTTCCTCCCCATTGTCCCATTTGTACCATGTTCCAGGCGGGTCAATCCCTGCAGGGCCCAGCAAGAGCTTCCATTCCTCTGGGATTGCTGCTCTGAGCATCTGTGCTCGTTCCTCCTTCAAGGGGAGTTGTCCCAGCACTTGTCTCAGAAGCCGGTCTGATTTCCACTGATTCGTATTAGCGTCCCAGAGATCACCTACCAATGAGATGCCTTTCTGTAGCCAGCTGAGGCCAAACGTCCCTGGTTTCCTTTCCAACGTGAATGGGGCACCTTCAACGTCTGTAATCCGGTCATTCTCGAAGAGTGGTTGGCATCTCACGTCCTCTTTGGATTTTGGCGCCAATCTTTCCGTTGGCCTTGCTTGTTTCCAAACTGCCAGGACGTCCCACCAAAATCTGGAGTTAGGCCGTTTCCCTGCAAAGGTCTTGGTCATGATGGCGACCCATACGTCTGAGGGCCTGGTCAGCTTCCATTCTGAGGCCAAGAGTGCTTCTGCTAGGAGGATCCAGTCTCCATCGCTGTCTGCCTCTGCAACTTTAACTACCCAGCGGGCGAGTAAGTATTTATTCTGGGCCCCTGGGTCCAACAGCGATAGACCCCCTTCCTCTTTGGGAGCACATATCGTATCCCATGCAACTTTCGACATGTAGCCACGACCTGGGTCCCCGTCCGACTTCCAGATGAATCGTCTAGCCACAGCCTTGACCGTTCTGAGCATTGTTGGAGAAAACTTCTGAATCACAGTTACGTACCACAACAGGGCAAAGGCTGATGCCGTTATTGCCGGAGCACGGCCAATCAGAGAGAGGTGCCTTGCCTTCCCCCAACTAGTCACTCTCTTCTTGAGCTTTTCTTGCAACAGAGCTTCTTGAGCGGACGAGCAATCCTCCAATGCCACCTGTACTCCTAGGAAACGCTCTGCTGCGTCAGCTGGTACTCTCGCCATGCCCCACTAGGCTGCCAACGGGAACTGCTTGGGCAGGAAGAAGGTAGACTTAGACCAATTAACTGCAGCCTCGGAGAGTTCCGCAAAATCTCTGAGGCACCCCTTGAGTGTTTCCAAGGAAGGCCTTACGTTGCTTGAGATTGCAAACAAGTCATCCGCTAACGCCTTGACTCTGCATTCCTTCCCGTTTGGCAGACACAGTCCAATGATTTCAGGGTGAGCTCTGATATTGCAGAGGAGCAGTTCCAAGTGCAGCACGAAAAGAAGTGGGGCCAGAGGGCACCCTTGACGCAATGATCTGGTCAACTTGAATTCCTGTGAAATAACCCCATTTACACAAACCGCAGTCGAAGAGAAACCATACAACACCTTTACCCACCTACAGAACGACTCCCCGAATCCTGCTACCTTTAGCGTTGTGAAAACAAAGGTCCAATTTACCCTATTATATGCCTTTTCAAGGTCCAAAAGGAGGACCGCAACGCCTGCGTTATCCCTTTCAATGAGTTCAAGGGCTTCTATAGCCGTAACCATGTCCTCGAAGATGGACCGTCCCTGTACGAAGGCTCCTTGATCGCGCTTCACTAACCCAGGTAGGCGATTTCTCAGTCTGGTGGCAAGTGTCTTGGCAAGCAGTTTGGAGACCACATTCAACAGGGAAATGGGACACCAGTTTCTTACTTCGCTGCGGTCGCCTTTCTTGAACAGTAGAGAAATGACCCCCCGGGTCATAGACTGACCCAGTTTACCACCAGTCAAGATCTCATTGAACATGGTCACCAGATCTTCCGCCAAATCCTGCCAGCAGCAGGCGAAGAATTCGATCGGCAGTCCATCATCACCTGACGCTTTTCCCCGTGCCATGGCCTTCACTGTACCTTTCAGCTCTTCCACCGTGATCGGTCTGTCCATCCAATGCTTGCCTTCCTCAGGAACTCTTACTTGGAAGTTATTCCACAGAGGTGAAAGTTGTGACATGTCGTCCTCCATGCTGTCTTCGGGGTGCCTGGTTGTCATAATGTCTGCAAAGTACTCCGCGGCATAATTATGCAAGGAAGATGAGCATTAGCGAACTCCAGCAATCAAACAGCATCATACATATGTGTCCAGATAGTCTTGACCTCGAACCAACAGCAGTCATGCATCACGAGATTCACCAAATCAGAACACACCAATAGTTCGTAATTGACAATGCTGAAATAGTCTCTCATCATCATCAACGAAGAACAAGAGTTGATATCCTATTGGCGCTTGGCACCCAGACTACTTGTGGCAGATCCTATCTAGCCTAATACTACAATGCCGATGTTGACAACAACAGCTCCCTGAAGTACGAGCATACAGCGGACAATGCAGCACGCTTCCAGCACCAGGTATGTCTCTCGTAACACTCACAACCTCGATCCACACCGCACAGATGCCACTTGCACCCAAGGACCACCCTGCGTCACATCCAGCCTACAACGGAGCAGCTCGGCTATGGCTGCCCGCTACCTCCCTGCTCGCCTGTGAGAGCGTGAGTGCCAGCCAGCCAGCAATGAGCGTAGCAGCGCTTGCGCAGCATGCAGCCAGCACCCGAATGTCGAATGAGGAGGCAGGCCCTTCCCTATATCGAAGTGGCCTGCCTGCGTCCAGTCCAGGAAGCTTCCGGTAGGCCCCGGTAGGCACAGGCCCAGTCACGAAGAGAGCAGGCCTTGGGCCTGAAGTGGTTGCATGCGCCCAACTGCTTTTGGCCTGTGTTTGGCCCGGTACCCGTATCCAGCCCAGGGCCTGCTTCACATTCATTTACACAGGCGGCCCAGGGCCTGGATTCATTCAACCAACTGGCGCAACGCAACTGCCTGAATTTCCCCGATGCGGGGTACCCTGAAGAATGAGGCCCGAAGGGCCTGTCGTGCCTGCCTTCACTTAGGGCGGCCGACCTTGTTGCAGATAGGGCCCCATAGGGGCTAAGCGGGCGTAGCCTCGCAATTACACATGTCGGCATTGGTGCTGGCATGGGGCTGACCTGCAAGATGCGGGTGCTGTAGCTCCTTCATCCTGACCGCTCTGCTTTTCGGGAGTAGCCTCTGGAATGACTGCTTGGACAACCTGTCTGAGTTTTAACTACCCCTTTCACCTTCAAAATTTGCCGCCATCTCTCTTGCTTGAGATTCTGATGAAGTTCCCAACTGTGTAATCTTTCCGCCCTTTCTACCGCCAAAAAAATGTCTGATACCGGGTGGATACCCAGATTCCTTTCAGCTTCTTCAACCTTGTCACAGAGATATTTTTCCTCCTTGTTCCGTCCATATGCTGCTATCTGAGAAAATACATCCAGTCTGGAAGAAACGATACGCAAGCCAGCGTCCATACATTCTGCTGTCGAATCAAACGAAGGCTTGGCATCTTGCCAGTCTCCCCGAAAACCACTCACCCAACTGGTTAAGCCCTCATCAGAAAGTCGGTCTGTGTTTAACCGGAAGCATCCTGGCCCCCTACTCTCTAAGGAAGAGAGATTGCATTCCAAAACTACCGGTTTGTGATCCGACAGGTGCTCATTGAACTCTCTTGCTTGAATTACTTCGCTGGAAGCCAAGGCTGAAACCAAGAAATAGTCAAGGCGCCTCTGTACTCCCGCCAACTGCACGGAGCGACCAAACCATGTATATCCATTTTTTAGTTGGTGGATATCCCGGAAGACATCCCTCAAGTCCCAGGCTTCCATCCAGCAATATCAGGGGGCTACCGGTGAAAAATAATAATTAAATAAATAAATAAATAATAATAATAAAATTATAAAACTAATAATAACAATAAAATATAATAATGATTAAAATTAAAATGTCAATAATAATGCACTGCCGCTGCGCAAGACAGCCCATTGGCTTGACCCTGGCATCCCCAGTCACCAAAATTTCCAAAATTCAGCCGAGTGCATTTTATGCTAGAAGGTGGATAGATACATTCAATATTTTAGAATAATTTTCCCACATTTGTTGTTGGTGGAACATTCACCCGCTGACCAAGCATATATGGTAAAAGAGACTTAGCATTTTTTTTTTTTTTTTTTTTTTTTTTTTTTTTTTTTTTTTTTTTAGCAAAAATTCATACGTACATAGTCTTGGACAAGTTCTCAAAGTCTTTTTTTCTTTTTCTTTTTCTTTTAATTGCTCGGACTGGGGCCGGGGGGATGGGCTGCGCTACGCTTCGCTGCAGTGTCATACGAATGCAACGCTGAAAGGACTGATCAGGAAAGCCTACCCCCCTTATGGCCACTCTGTAGCCCCAAAAAATTAATTTCATATCATTGTGGCCCGATGGACGTGGATCAGTTATTAAACTGATCAGAACAGATACTACCCCCCTGACCTGTGCTCCACCCACATCTATAAGGGGTATTTTAGCATATATGTGAGTCGGTGAAACTCCGATGAAACAGTTTGTCACAGCCCCTCGTTTGTTGTCCTCTTCTCTCTCTCTGCCTACGGTTTTACCGGGCAGTTCTGTTTGTGACGATATATGTGAACTTTCAGGGTTATTTTGCAAATCCCCCCCATCCCCCCCCCAAAAAAAAAAATCTATGAACTTTAAATGGTAAGA